TTTCCCGCTGGCAGGTGGGAAGCAAAATGAATCTGGTGGAAACCACTAATTCTTTAATTGGGCCTACAAGAGGCGCATTAGAACAGTTGCTTTTGGCAGGCTCACTAATGCTGTATAAGAGGGAGCTTGTTTTATGCCAACATACTTTTCTGAATAGGTTTTTACATTTGCCACCTGAGACAGCCATAAGGTAAAGAGGAAGGATCTAAGATATCTCGAATAATGGGAGCCTTCAAAAGAGTGACTGAAATTAAAGGAAATAATGAAAATGTTTCGAATGAATGTGTTGTGATGAAATAATTTATAGAGATTTATCTGGAAAGGATAGTGATACATCAGCAAGCAGAATTGAAACAAGTGTTGTAAGTCTTAGTGTCTAAGAAAAAAAATGATGGAAATCATAAATACAGTGGGAATATCAAAAAAAAAAAAAAAAGTGAAGCTGCAAGATTACACAACTCAGTATTTCCCAAACCTGGCACTTTTAAGTTGTGTGGACTTCTACTCTGGCTGGGGAATGCTGGTCCACATGTCTTAACATTTCAAGTTTGAAAAACTGGAGGAAAGTATGAGAATATAATCTGCCTATAAAGTTGCTGTATAAGCTTGTTTAATGTCTATAAGCCCCCAGCTATATTTGAAGATGATAAAATGTTATTATTTTTTCTCTATGAAAAGGGAATGGCAGCAAGAGCGAATGCAACATTTAAAGGGTAATTAATTTGTTCTGTGTGGCTTGGAAAGTATTTGGCAAAATTGTGGCTAAAAGGGTAGGAAAGGTGACCCTGAATAAATTTTAGGGTGCACAATTCAACTTTTTGCCAGGCAGATAGTATACACAGTAAGCTAGGTTTTTGCTCTTCAGGAGTTTATTGAAAAAATGTGAGAAAGGAAGTTTATTGTTCCTTTTTTGATTTTTTGAAAAAGCATGTGATAAAGTGAGCATGTTTGGGTTATGATTTTTGTGCAAATGCAGAGTTAACATTTGGTTGCTGATTGTGGTCTGTGACAGAAATAAAGCATGTATGGGAATGAAGTGGATGATTAGCAAATGGTTCAACATTGACCAAGGATAGTGATGTCATAGGTTTATGGGAGTTGATCCAAGACATGGCACAAAACATCTCTTGTGATTTTTTTTTTTTAAAAATATCTCTTTTATTAAGACCTCCAACAGCATCTACTTTCAACTTTTACAGCCTTTCGGGACTAGAGGTGTTTACAGTTAGATACCCATATTCCATTCTCTACTTGACTGATCACCAGTTTGAGTTTTAAAATGCACCATGAAGTAGACATTTGCCTCTTTTGAATATTATGAAGACTTAAGTGTTCTGTACCTGTGCATTCATGCATTCTATAATGTTCGCTTACTGTATAAGTACGCTGCATGGTTTTCAAAATCCTAGCTATACTTTCTACTTGGATGTAAGTAACGGGCTAAGAATACTGGATGGCATTCCCTCTGGAGAAAAGAAGGAGTCTTTCTACACGTTTGGTAGAACCTTCTAATTGTCATCACTTCAGCCTTACCCAGATTCTTCTATCTGTGAAAGATGGAAAAAAATGCCTTGTAGTCTTCTTTCTCCTTGTCTTTGGAGTGTCTTCCCTAGATCTCACCCAG